AAGATAACGAATAACAATCATCAGTCTTCATGTACATATTGCAGTTTCTTTTGGTTGCATTGAATGCCGAAATGATTATTTTTTTTACAGATATTACATATTTTACCCCACGCAGGACACAGTTCCTTTTTAAACGGGTGGTTTTGTCCACAAAATTTACATTTGCGCTGTTTATGAGCAGCATTTTGTTGTAGAATATTTTTGCGAGACGAAACAGCGAACGCCTCATCCTGAGGTGGTGAGGCATCAGATGTAGGCCTACCTGTAGTTGCAAGTCAGCAGCTTCATTTGCCTTGAAGATTTCCATACAAGTCTTGAGTGTTAGTTTATGTTCTTGTAAGAGTTCTTTCTTTGTTCTTGTGTCTCTGATGCCATCCACCATTCGGTCCCTTATTAATGACTCTTCCATATGGTCACAAAAGTTGCAGGTTTTAGCGAGTGTGCGTAGAGCTAGTAGGTAATCATCTACGGTTTCCTGTGGCTTCTGCTGTCTGTTGTTGAAAACATATCTTTCATAAGTTTCATTTTTTTAAACCAATGAAGTGTTCATCAAATGCACATATTATGTCTTGAACATTGTGCTTTGGTTTAAAGGTGATACTGTTGTATACTGCCAACGCCTCTGGGCCGATAGTGTGCAAGAACAGTGCTTTGGCATACTCTTCATCTATATCGTTTATTCTCTCGATAGTGCAATAGTTCAGCCACATTTGCTTGAAAAGCTTCCATTCCTCACACCCTTTCTTCACATTTAAAGGAGGTGGAGGGTTAATTCTTGGTTTAAAGTTAGTTTTACTTACAGTTTCCATTTTAGAACTTTTAGAAAGCTGCCACCATGTTATATTATCACAATACACTAAACAATATTGATGTTTAAAAGTTACACTCCATTTTTTATTAACGTGAAACAAGAAGAGACCAACCAGAAGAGACTAATACACAGTGAATACACACTACTGACACACTTAAGAGTAAACCGTGAACATGTAAACATACTTAACAGTTGAACAAGGGAGACTACAGGAAAACAAACAAACACACACACAACATACATAAACATAAATACACATATAAATGTAACACACACCAATTTTAAATTTAAATGTTGCTAAAATTCATTAGTCATAAAAATGCAAAGTCAAGTCATGAGTAAACATTATATTTATAAGGCAAAGTAATATTATTTTCAATTCTTGGGCACTGCAGCAATAAAGCTGACTAGAAGATTTGATTAAGCTATATTAAAGGGTCTAGGAAGTTAACCAGAAAGCAAATAACATAGTGAATCTCATCAATGATATGTAATAGAGCATATGGGATTTCCACAGCCAATATTTTAAAATTTTTAATTCTGCTTATAGCTCTTTCTACATGACATCTGTGACAAGAAACCTTCTTGTTTTCTCCTCTTTCTGTAACCTCAAATTGAGATTTATTTTTTAAAAAGTGGGGAGTCAAGAGTGTTATATCTTTGGCTTCAAAATTATCTTTTAAAACAGTGAAGCCTCTGTCTGCCAGGACACAGTCCACTTCTTAAAGTGATTTCTTTGTCTGATATAGAGCCATTATATAGATCAGAGATAAATGAAATCCCCCCCACTAGGTGTAATGTCAATTAGTGCCTTCACAGTGTTGTGATTTTTATATGTACTAAAGCTGCTTTGCTGTTGCTTGGAATTTTTAGGCTGCTGTATAAAATACACACAAGTATCTATAATAACACGACATGCTGGGAAATGGTTAACAAAAGTAGAAGGCATGAAAGCCTTGACCTGTTCAGTACTAGGCCATATGTTGACACTTCGACATTTCACACACAATACCTGAATACATCTAGTAAAAATCCTAGAAATAGTTGACTCATTTACATTTATTAAATAAGAAAGTACATTGTTCGTCAAGCCATGTCTAAGCCTGATCATTGTGACCAGTAGCTGATTTTGAGAATCTAACAATAATTTGTCTTCTAAACAGCTACTTAAACAAAAAAAAGTTAAATATAGTATCCAACTGTATGCATGTGAAGCCAGTGTAACTTTTAAAGGCTTTATCTCCTTTTAGTTTCAAAGAGTCATAACACAATTTCAACTGAGCAACTTCTTCCAGAAGGCTAGCATTGCCTGGTTCCAAAGTATTTACCCTCTTTAGAAGATCTGTAATAAAGTCTTCATCAGTTTGCACAGTGACATCTCTAGTCTTCTCCTCAATGGTAGTATCTTGGGGTAAAAGAGGTTGTCTAAAAGGAAACAAATATATTTAAGTGTACAGTCAAACATGATCATCATAAAAATATTTACTATTAAGATAAAAAAAATGTCAAACATAATTACTGAAGATATTTCAACACATTTTCCTCAATTCATATTTGGTCTTTTTTCAGCTTGGTGTACTTTTGGAAAAAGAAAACTTGGTTGGCACAGCACCAGGCTTTAGAAGTCTGTGATCTAAATGGAATATATCATGTATATTAGTTTTAAAACACATTTTTTTTTCAAAATAATATACATAAAAGTTACTAGACCTATAGATCTATATACCATCTGAAAATAAGCCATATGAACCTAATAATTCACATAGGAATAGGGAGGCCTACTGATCAAATATTAACATTAGATCCACTATTTTTTTCTCCTACTTGTAGGAATCTAATTCAATATTGAATATACTACTACTAGATTGTAACTAGACCAGAATTTAGCAAATATTAATAGTAATAATAATAGGCTGTTTAGTATTATTTAAAGTCGAATCAACGCTAATAGAATTCTATGTCTATATCTTATTCTATATAGTATCTAGAATCTAGATTGAGCATCTAGCAGCTATCTAAGCTACTTGTAGATCTATTTCTACTAATTTCTAGTCTAGTCACTAATGACACTAGTCTAATCTAGAAATATTATAATCTAGACTAGTTGTTTTATTATTTACATGCTCTTTAAATTTAATTTATAAACTTTGAATAATAATCAGATTTAAAAATGTAGATCTAATTCTGATTGTAAATTTAATAGAATGTATAGTTATAGACTCTAGAATAGGTCTACAGATTCAGATTATACAGTAGATTTGAGTAGATCTAGATTACTAGATCTAATTAATATTTTAAACTATTTATATCTAGAAATTCTAGAAGTAGAATCTAGATCTAGATTCTGAGCTAGACTTATATAGATCTAGATTCTTATCATCTAGATCTAGTTTAGACCTACTAGTCAAAGACTTAAATATCATCGTATTACTACTATTAGTATATAATACTTCTAGATGTAGAATATAAATATAGATTAGATCTAGATTCTATAGATTATTATATGATTATAGATCTATCTACTTACTTGTAAAAGGCTGGTAAATAAAACAGTCCTCCTCAAAATGCTCTGAACATATTACAGAGTGTGCACTTGCAGTGAAGTTTTTTGGTTTCAGTTTTACAACCCATTCTTTACATAGCTTTGGATTGTTCACAGGAAAACGATGAAAACTTTTTTTTTCTCTACATTCTTTTTTATGTTCATAATATTATATATCTAGTAAATGAACATAAAATAAGAGTACTCTCGTCTCATAATTATTATTTTGCAATTTTTAGATACATAATCTTCTTTATCAAAAGACTGAATGCAACACTAAATTCTGATTTTTTGTGTATTTTTGATAATCAATTACTAGATCTAGATCTAAAAATTAAATTATATGTTACATAGATTAGGGTTGAAAAAAAAAACTTTACTTCTTTTAACTACTTTACAAAACAACGCCTTGATTCAAGTTTCTACAAAATATTCACGATCGATCAGTCGCGGATAAGAATTTATTTCCGGTTTCCAGTCTAGTAGTAGGCCTAGTCTATATACGTCTATGGTTTGTGGTTTTATATTATATAACTTTCGTAACTTCTTCTATAGAGTAATGACTTTTGTAATTTCTTTTACTGAAAATTTGGGCTACTCGCGTCTGACACATATATAACTTTTATATACTGTAATACTGTACTGTAAATAATATAATGGGCGTTGCTCGTGACTAAAAAGTCGAGTTGGAGCGCATAGTGCTAGCTCAGATGGAAAAATTTTTATAATGTTCTTCCCTGGACGGGATAGTTAATTAAAGAAATAATCACCAGAAATTAGTAACATCATGATATGGTAGGTAAATATGAATATTTGTCGCCACCCCCAACTATCTAATCTTCGGATCGAAATCAATCTCGAATTCTCTCTACTGCTCAATCAATTTTTAATTCTCTCTACTGCTCAATCAATCTCTAGTTCTCTCTACTGCTCAATCAATCTCTAATTCTGTGCTCATGGCGACATCGACATAAACGAATTTCGTTTGGAACAAAAGAGGCTTCAACGGTTTGTCGAAATTTCTTCAGACGCCTTTGAACTTCTCCAACCTGATTGAGATCTTGAGTTGTATATATATATATAAGATATCAGCTAGATGTTTCAGTTCTAAATATTGTCTTTCTTTCCATTATTTCTGAGAATTGTGTCTAGATGTGAGCAAAGTTTTTTCAGATTTGCGTTCATTAAGATTTAATTTCGATCATGAAGTAAAAATTTATGACTTACTAATTTGGTAATTGATGAAAAAAAAAAAGATTTTGATAAAATTATTGATAGTTTTGCACTCGCATTTGTTGTGATTTTTTTTGTACAACTGATTTTTTTTCGAATTAACAGTACTTTAACAATCAATACACATTAAATCGGAAAAAAAAACAAATCTTGTCGCTGATATATTTTTTTTTTTTGGGGGGGGGGGGGGGGGAATCATGCCGCACTGGGCATCAAATATCACTGGTTTATTTCATTTCACAGTATATTCCCTTTTCCATAAAACGATAGTATAATACACAATTTTTATATGGTGTATAAACAAATTGTTTGCAGAATTAATTACAAATAAAAAGAGTTCACTTTTAGAAGACCAAAAATATTTAGAGAAAAGCACGGGTGATTTATGTAAACCAACAGGATAAAACAAGTAGCAATTTGTTCATAGCGATGTAGCTTTATTGAACTATATTTGATAAGAATTAATACATCCTCAATACTTTTTTTTTGCAATAAGAGGCAATGAAAATAAAATAAATCAATGCAAACGTCTATTTTTTAAACAGATGTCAATTAAAATACTGAGTTTAACAAATAACAACATAATAACAAAAAAATTTTTTTTTTATAAATAGAAGACATGTAAGATTATAAATACAATCTCCTTTGGTTAATTTCAACTAGATCATTATACGCCCCAAACAATCGCTAATAGAACTAGAGACACAAACATGTTACGTTAAAATGGAAATGTTAATTGAGACACTATGTTTTATGTCAGTGTTTCTCAACGTTTTGCTTGACACATTACCCATCCCAAACAAAGAAAGTAAGTGGAAGCCTTTCTCTATTCTGAAGTTATGATTTCTTTTAAAGGCACTTAGCTGGTATTAATAATATATTTTTTACACATATTTTGTAAGTAAAAGACAAATCAAGTACACCAATTTATATTTTAATAAAAATATATGACAGAATGGAACAAGCTTTAAAAAATGTTGAACACGTGATGTGTGCTAGACACTTAAAGAAATTATAAAGATAGGGCTGATTCGGTGACATAAATTTAAAAAAAAAATTAAAAATCTTTTAACGGAATCTTACAGACACTGAGACCCACAATGCCCTTAAATGCTTCTAATAGCTGAGTGGAAGCTTTGAAAAATGTGAATAATGCTTCTAAGAATAAATAAAAAACAATTGGCAACATAAAATCTATATCTATTTACAAATGTTATTTACAAATTGAAGCTTAAAAAAGCAAATTTAGTTTTGCGAGTATAAGTTTATAACAATTTTTTTTAATCACAATAATTTTACTTTTTATTTTTATGGTTTTCAATAAAAAACAACAATCAAACAAGATTACAAAAAGAAAACAGGTAGCTTGACAGGTTTTGATACTGTCACAACGCAGCCATGAACTACAAGCTACCAGAAACCACAATCAAGAACAATAATAATAAAACAAAGACACGATGAATTGTTTGTATTTCATAGCAACCTCTTCTCCCAAAATACGAAATAGCTGCAGGAATAAGTTTATTTGTATATATATAGTTATCAAAATGAAACATATGTATATATATATATATTTTTTTTTTCGGATGTAGTTAAGGGATAATAGAATTTACAGTCAAAAATTCTTTGTGGGAGAGTTAGAACGAAAAGATGAGAGAAAAAAAAAAGATTCAAGCCAAAAAGCAACATTACAGCTGTTTAAATATTTCAATCTAAAAATGACAAGCCAAAGAAAAATAGTCACAGATTGTGTGTAGGACTATTTCTTTTTGAAAGGGGTTGAGGGGGCATAAGGAATACTAGTCTTTATCGGCCGATAATATGTGTCTGTATTTCTGTTGGAGGGCGTTATAAAAGTGAGCCGTTTCAATTAAAGATAGCACATACTAGCATTCACATGCGTAAAATATTTTTATGGTTGCGTTAAAATAAAAAAAAAAAATTTTAAAAAAAACGGGGGGGGGGGGGGGGGGAGACTCAGGCTAATCAACGGTCACAGCCAGTTTGTAATACTAGTATATCAATTATAGTTTATATCAATCGTAGTCTATATAAATCAAGTAAGAAAAATAAAATCAATTATATATGTCATAGCATATATAAACATATAGCAGGAAGTACGAAAGGTGAAATTAAGTTGTGTGTTGTATGCTTAATAATTCTATTTGTCTAAACTTTGGTTAATTAAAAAAATAAACAGATTTTCACTACATCAAACGTGGCAAGGCATTTCAAATCATGATTTCACTTTTGTTCGACTCTTATATTTGCTAAATATCAATTACTTATTTCTTGGCATTAATTTACACGTCAAAATTTTTTTACAATACATTTGTGCTAGTTTTGAAAAATAAAAGTGTTCTGTTTGAAATGATCAAAATTAGTTTTTATTTTGTTATTGCTGCTACATTCTTATCTTATTTTATATAATACAGACGTTACTTCAAAAAAGAAGATGATTACGTCCTACGCGTCATGCATTTAGTCATGCATATTAACCAATTACTTAAATTCTGCCAAGTCACTGGTTTTCCTGGCTAGCTCAGGCAACCCATTCCATGCTCTAATAGCACTAGGGAAGAAGGAGTATTTGTACAAATTTGTCCTAGCATATGGGATGAGGAATGTGCCTTTATCTTTGTGTCTTTCAGAGTATTTTATTAAATTTTGTTTTTGTATTTGATTATTATGGATACACTATTTTATGTATAATTGCTACTTTACTTTTGAGTCTTCTGTCCTGAAGGTTTTCTAAATTTAGTGATTTTACTAAAGGTGTTACTCTAGTCCAATGTGAATATTCATTTGTTATGAATCTCACTGCTCTATTTTGTGTCTGTTCCAGTTTCTTAATGTTTTCTTGAGTTGAGGGGTCCCAAATGGAGGATGCATATTCTATTATTGGCCTAACCAAGGTTAAATAACATTTTAGTTTTATGTTCTTATTTGATTTATAGAAATTTCTTTTAATAAATCCTAATGCTTTGTTTGATTTTTTAAAATAGTTTCATCAATATGTGGATCCCATGACAGTTTTTCATTTATTATAACACCTAGGTATTTTGTGTTTTTAGTCTGTGTTACTGGTTTGCCATGAATAAGATAAGTGGAATTAATTTGTTTTAGTGTTTTTGTTACTCTTAACAACTGACATTTTTCTGGGTGGAAAGACATGCTCCAATTTGATTCCCATTTCTGTAATTCATCTAATTCTCTTTGTCAAATATCTGTGTCTTGTGTTGTTTTTATTGTTCGTCTGCTAATAATCTGACTTTTGTTCCTGAAGTAATGCTTTTTTGTGTACAATGTTTTTAGTGCGACCATCAGGGGCATAAATGTACAAATTTTGTGGATCACTAACTCTGGAATATGCGACATAGAGCTGGCCATGAGAGAAACATGGTTGCTCTAAGTTTACCCCTGCTACCTGAAGTGTTTGACCCTGAGCTTTATGGATTGTCATTGCAAAAGCAAGTTGAACGGGAAATTGAAGTCGATTAAATAAGAATTGGGAATCAGTTGGTGTGCAATATATGCGGGGTATAAAAACATCTTCACCTGCAGCTTTGCCGTTTAATACTGTTGCTTGAATTATGTTTGGAAAAAGTGCTTTTACAAATAATTTGGTGCCGTTACACAAGTTAGGTGGATCTATGTTGCGCATCAACAATATAGCTGAGCCAATTTTTAACTGAAGAATATGTGGTGGAAGTCCGGGTAGCTCCAATGTGTTTAGGAACTCTTCAGGGTAAAGCTCCGACTCCTCTGTATTTACGGCTGTATCCAATGATTTATATGTGGTGACGGCCCCAGGAAGTTTATCCTGAATAAGGACATTTAGTCTTTCAACGCATTGATTCGTCGGTGCCAGAATGGCTCTTTCACATAGCCATTTGCTGCTTTTAAAATTCTCCAAAATATCCGGATAAACTTTTTCAATCAGACCTTCACCAGATTGTTCCCAGTGGCAAAACTGCGAAGGAAAGGAAATGGTTTCATACTTACCATCACCAATGCTTAAAAGATGTTCTGAGAATAGGGGGTTATTCTGGACTCGCATATTTGTTGTTAATGTCACTTTCTGACCCTTGTTCCACAGATAAGAAGATTTTATACATGCGTTTAGCTGTTGTGATACTGTAGATCCTGGAATTACAGGTAATGTTTGTCGAAAGTCACCTGAAAAAACCACAACCGCTCCGCCCATTAATGTATCGCTTCCCCTTATTTCATTCAAAATTGTATTCAGCGCTTCAAGTGATTTTTTATGGGCCATGGTACATTCATCCCAAACAATAAGAACACATTCTTTTAAAACTCTAGCAATGCCTGAGTTATTGCTTATGTTACATTTCGGATGAATTGAAGTAGCAATATCTAAAGGTAGCTTCAATGCTGAATGTGCAGGGAGGCGGCAAGTCCAGTTGATGCAAGAGCCAAAGCAATTTTTTTCTGCATTCGAATTTTAGTGAGAAGCATGTTTAGTAAAAATGTTTTTCCTGTACCGCCAGGTGCATCTAAGAAAAATAGCCCCCCTGCTTCAGATGTCATCTGCTCTTGTATGGCATCAAACACTGAGCGTTGTTCATCTTTCAAGCGAGGCTTGTCTTTCTTGAATGATTCTCTCAATTTAGTAATATCGTAGTTCATTTCTCTGTTATACTCATAATCCTGCGCATCAGACTCATGACTTCCAGTTTGCGAATTAAGATTCAGATCTTTTATTGTTTTCCCATTCATTAACATACATTTGTTTTCAATTTGTTTGAGAGCTTCAATAAATTTTTCTTCTTTTCTTCTATTTTTAATATCTTTACTGAAATTACCTTTAAATTTGTCCCATAGACTTGTTGGATTGGAAGGCTTACTAAATGATAAAATGATAGAAAATAAACTCCTGCATTGCTCTGCTGTGCTGCTATAGTCTATTGCTTCTTGTAACGTAGTTTCCCAAGTTTCTTCTCTGATAATCAAGCCTCGTTTTTCACATGCTTCTTTATACGTCTCGCATTTTTGGACTCCAACAGTTTTTAGAGCATCAAAAGATTTTGGTCCTGGAACGTTATAAAGTAACAATCTAAGATGATAACACTCAGAGTCACTGGGATGAACAGCACAGATACGAGCTAATGTTTCTTGTGAATAAACATTTTTAATAGTGTCTCTGGTTCCCCTTTTTCTTCTATGATATTTTTTTTTTGTCCATGTATAATATTTAAAAACCTCTGGGTACAATAAAGTTCCAGCTATTTGATCAGCTTCACATAATTGAAAAAAAGCTGTTAATTTTGTGTTTTCTGGCTGAGTAGCTAATTGCACAAAATTATCCTCTGTGAAATAAACACGTTGTTTATCTTGTAAATGAACATCAAGACTAAACGCTGGAGGAAAATTTTCACGAAGAGGAAAGTTTAATATTCGCCAGACAGCTTCACCGCTGGTAATGGATCTTTCCGTTTGACACTGATCATCATCCCTATCGTCCGATAAAATTCTATATTTGATACATAATTGACCAATGTATAATTGTAACTTTTGCAAGTCACAAATTTCCACATTAACATGTGTCTCAAACATCTTACAAAGTAGAGGAGAGTAGGGCACAATCCATGTATTGTCTATTTTAAAGTCTTTTCCCTTTTTACCCACTTTACGGTGTGTAGTTAATCCTTCATCTTGTGGCGATCTTCTTCTGTAACTAATCGAAAACGTATCAGAAATGTGTGTTGTTTGGAGAAATTCTTTTGGATATGCTTTGGTACATTCCCCTTTCTTCATACAAGGTGCTCTTTTATTGTTATCACCGCAAGGTCCGTGTACCATGTGATTGACGACAACGTCAAAAAGCTTGCGATCATTGTTGGGATCTGGAAGCTCTGCGGAAATAACTTGGTCAATATCAATTTGAGACTGCATACGTTTTTCCTTTAGCCACACTAACATTTTGGCTTCTGGGAGACCATTTTTTTTAAATTTAACGAAATAATTCCAACCCTGAATTTCTCCAAAGATCTCGCTACGTGTGATGAGTTTTATAAGATTGAACAGTTTTTGTTTAAACACTCTTGCTATCAAGTCTGGTCGATCTTTTGAGGTCTGACCTGTAAAAAGTTCAACTTGTATTTCTTGCCAGTCTGAATTACATTTAAATGTTATAAAGAAATCGGGAATTCCATAATACTTTTTATAGGCTAAGATGTCCTGTGCTGCTTCAAACCAATAGCTCGGCCCTCCAGTAAATGAAGAAGGTAATTGAGATTCTTTCCCGATTTCACGAAAAGATTTGTTTTTCTTTACAGCCTCCTTCAAACTACAAAAACTGACTGTTCTTTTTTTCTTTTTGGATTTAAAGTAAGATATACGTTCGTTTTCGATTTTTGTAAACATGTCAACAATAAAATGATTAAATAGTTGGCCAAGTTTTAAAATGTGATTTGAAGTTCGTTTCATTATATGATAAGCATAAAATTCCCTCGAAGACATTTTGGTTGATTTTTTTGTTTTTGAGTTAATCTTTTTCCACTTAAAGTGGTATCCATCTTCACCTTGCCAAAATATAAGTGGATACTGAAGAGCATCATATGATCTGTGGAATTTGGGAACTGTTTTCATACCTGGATCGCGTTTAGGTATAACAAGAGCCCCTTTGTAAGAGTCCTCTTGAGTATTTGAAATAAGGCTGTCGTCAATAGTTGGAAATTGCTTCTCTTTCTGCTTTTCATGACTACTTATAGTTCTATCAGGGGGCAAAATGATGTTATAATCATCAGATGGCATTTTCTCTAGTGCATTTTTAAAAAGTTTAACTATTTGGTTTTCCTGTTGCAAAATTCTTTGTAAATCTAAAAGGATTTTAGTCTCAATACCTTGAACATTTGCACAGCGTTGCTGAGCTTCTTCATTTTCATCATCACTCATAAAATAAATTTGTAAATTCTTTGAATCTTCCTTTTTTATAGGCAATATGGA